CCGCGACCTTCCGCTCTCCGGGCGGACGCTCTAACCACTACACCACGGTCTAAAATTTGTTTAGGTAACAAACCAAGAATCCTGAGGACAAATCCAAGATCGTAACCCACTACCAGACAACCAACATACAAGGAAAGGGACTAGCATTATACAAGGCTAATATACTCTGTATAGTCGGCTGGGTCACCTATGACCCAAAACAATCAACGAGTCACAAACTACAACAGATGAATCTAGAACAATAGTGTGACAGACAACATTGTTATCAAACTGGGTCAGTAGATCACAGGAGTAAACACTCAGTATCACCTAATGTCCGACCATCTCACTCTTCTCACCTTGGCTCTTCATATTCTCTCTCAACACAACACTAAACTGGAGTGTGCCTAATCAGATCTATGTTTCATAGGCTGATGACCTACAATCAATGTCATCAATGGAAGGAGGCCTCTATGGATTAGTCACCATACTTGCAGGCCATAATTGGTTTAGGGAGATAACAAGCACCTGTCATTAAACCAGGGACTCTGTTGTTTACAGCATCATCACGCAAGAGATTCTAATACAGCCCCAACTGAGGCCAAGGGTTTCATAAAACCATTACCGGTATTACTCACACATAAAAGTGTCAGTTGCGTCCATATCTTGCCATTGAGAAGGCCTAGGCCTGATTCAGTACAGCTCCAGGTCATCAACAGAACATAATCACATTCACTTTCAGTTTCGAAGTCCCAGTTTCTCTACCTGACAGAGGGATGGAGTAGCCTTGAGAATTAAAGCATTAACTTATCTCTGTTGTGGACCTGTGAATTTCCGGTTTAAAATTGATCTTAAGCAACCCCATTAGGTGACTAATGGGATCAGGTGGTCTGGCTCGCTGACTTGGCTGACACATGTTATCATATGCTCATGATGTTGATCACCGGACTGTCTGGTCTAGACTCCATTATAGCTGGAATATTGCTGAATGTGCTGTTAAACAAGCAAGCAAGCACGCAACCAACCAACCATCTCTATTGCAGCGTAAAACCTCACTCACTCACTCCACATAAAGAAGCACTATAGCTTGCTGATCCACATGATGTAACCATGCAATTAGGTAGTAATTGGGAGACTTATTTCTGTAATGGGTGGAAGTATATATTACATACATGAAGATACTGCATTTACACAAGAGCACACAATATTGCAGGAGCGTCTGAACAGAATCTGCAATAGTTACCAGCTGAGTTGCTTTATTGGTTTATTATGTACCAGAGACGAACTATACCTGGTGTAAATGTGGCTGTCATTAAACCTAAGACCCAGTTGTGAATGTCATCACACAATAGACTCCAATATAACCCAAACTGATATTAAGTGTGTGCACAAAACCATTATTACGACTACACATAAAAGTATCAATTACGTCCATGTCTTCCCTTTGGTACAATACCAACCACTCCAGCTTCAGACAATCCCGGACCAACAACCGACAATGGACACAAGTATACACTGTTGACTTGTGACCCAGTTCACACTGATGGAGATATTGGCCACAAAATAATACTGAACAATACTAATTGTACTCCGTGTACAAGTAACTTAATATACTACGTATACAACCTCCCTACAACCAATAGGAAGTCTTCATGCATTCATGAACCAAGAACATATTACCCACTAACCTATTCAGTCTGACCATTTCACACTAAGAAATGAATGAGTTCATTATATTGGGTCAACATGTCTACCTCATATAGTCACACCAATATTGCTAATAGCAGAGACCATATAATATTATATGGTCTCTGCTAACAGTCATCCACATCAATCCGATAATTGCAGCTCCTATAACCACGTACTATAAATGTTCATATATTGACTTTACATGTCGATGGACTTATTAATGTTTAAGTAGCATTAAGTTCGGGACAATGAGATATACTTACAAAATCACTTCATGAAGTTGTAAATCCCACAGAACACAAAAATCCATAATGAACCGATGCTTCCACACTCAACATGAACAACCAGCAACAGTTGGCGATGTCATGTGCATCAAGTGTCAGCACCACATCACACATGCCTCACTATCAGCAACTGAATCCATCATGTGCATCAAGTGTCAGCTCTGCATCACACATGCCTCACTATCAGCAACTGAATCCATCATGTGCATCAACAGTGAGCTCCACACAGATTCCAGGCATGACTGCTCAAGATGTCAGCTGCCTCCAGACAAAGGTTCCAGGAAGGACCACATCCCTGACCTACATCAGCCCAGACAAGCTGGCCCTTCTTTCCTGGCTGTATCATCAAACACCAATTAGCACTAGCCCTCACTCACCAGCATCCCTAGAGGCCTGGAAGGTATGGCTACTGGGGTTATATCATCCCATGGTACACTCAGATGGTGCTGGCACCCAGGTATTCACGGACTGAGTGGGGGATGCTTTTAGTAGTATTGCATGGATATCTTCATTGGGCAGAACAACCATACCATTCACACATTTCAAACATATGGAGAAATGAACCCAGGAATTTGGCGGAATGAACAAGCAATGTAACCATTCAACTACTCTATGCACTGCGGCAGAAAATCACCAAATCAAGCAAATGTGATTCTTTCAAAGTCATATTTATTTACGTTCGTTATAGTGAGTGCACAGGGAAAATGAAACTAATTTAAATGTGAAGATTTTCATTTGTGATTACTTCCTTATTACGTAGTGAACAGAGATCAGTTCTGTCAGTTTCGCTGAAGGGGTCGTTGTCGGCACGGGTACTACAGATATGTACCCTGGCCATAATGAGAATACAGAAACGTACCCTAGGACGATTCCATTCCCATTCTTGATCGGAACTGTCATGTTGTTGTATTAGATACATTTGATTGCATTATGGAAGTAATGAGAATACACAGTAACGGATATTTCGCGATGCATATGAACACCACTCGCAATCAGTTGAACAGGAACAACTACATACGGTTTCGGTTTTGGATTGCGGAATATGGACTCGTCCGCCTTTTAGGGTACCGGGTACGTTTCTGTATTTTGACTTTGTTTAGGGTACATATCTGTATACAGAAACGTACCTGGGGTACGTATCTGTAGTACCTGTGCCGACAACGACCCCTTCAGCGTCAGTTTCAATATGCTGTTTTCCCCAGGTATGCAGTGTGCAATAAGTAAAATAATGCATCTAGAACTTCACTCTTACATCCAATGTACAACATCAGCAGCCCCGATCCCTGGATAACTATCAAGCCATATATCACTACAACAAGCACTGCAACTGTCAAGTGGTAACTTTAGCCTCATCATGTTCATCCCTTGACAACTATCACCCAATACATTACCACACTAACAACTTTTGGATTTTCAGCGCACCAACGGTGAAGTGGTCACTCAAGCCTCATCAGATCCATCCCTAACAACTATCACCCCATAAATCACACCACAACCATTATTTGGATAACTGTACACAGCAGTAATTGAGTGTGGCAACTATGAGGTAAGTCCGCCTCACTGTCCCTAAACCACATTACTTTCCCTACTACCTAGCCCTCCCTGCAATGCAAAGGCCCAAAATGAAGCAAGGCTAGATTTTCTCAGGTTCAGTCTACTATGAAGTGGTCATATTCACAAAAGCATTTACCGTGACAGAAAGTTACAGAGACAGAAGCTTAGTCTGAAGCTTAAGCTCTGAATATATATAATTTTCATCGAAACAAATAATTTCTTTTAAATTGAAAAATGCCTCAGTGACTTGTTTGTGTGGCAAAAGAGAAGTTGGGACGTACAACATTGAACAAACTTTATGAATAACAACTTATTTTGTGAGTACAACGTTTCGATACAGATTCTTATACCATTGTCATTCCTGCTGGACAACGTAATCGTGAAATCAAGAAGTTGTAATCCATAAAGTTTGTTCAATATTGTCAGCCCCAGTGAGATGGGAGATTCAGGACCTGAGAAAATCTTGACTTGCTTCATTTAGGGGTTTAGCATTGCAGAAAAGGCTTGATGGAAGATCAAATACTGCGGTTCTGGGATTGTGAGACAGACTAAGAGTTATCTACCTAAACAGGTCCAGGTGAGAGGCCTGACAAAGCCCTCACTGATCCCTGGACCAACACCATGAGAGGTGGGGCAATCACTGGAAGACGCAATCACTTGTGAAATGGCTAATAACAGATGAAGGCAAACAGCTCCCAGGGAGAGAAGGTTACCCAAACACCAGGGCAGTCAGATTATGTACCAGATTATATCCCTGACACTGGCTACAATGTTCAACATGTTAGACTGGACTGCTTTTATCATGCTTCTTGGGAGATAAAATCTCATATACACATACTGGGTGATATTGGTGAGATTTATGATGTTGCAGAGAGCAGGAGGACAAACACTAAACACTTCTATGTTGGATGATAAGGTACATCTAAGACAAATTACGAGAATATTTAGCCATAAATGTAATTACAACTAAAAACTTTCATATTATGGCATGGAAGATTAACTATAGTGAAAGGAAAGAATTGGGTGTTTTCACCTTCTTTTGAGTAGCATAGAAATGAACGTATTCACTGCTCTTAATCAACCACTACGTACATGTTCATTTATCAGTGCTACAAACTAATACCAATACTCAGAACTGATATTCAGAATATTTTCAAAAATGAGTTTATTACATGTGCTAATCCCACTGAAAGCAAAAGATGCACAACTTTTGATAATTTCATGAATTTCTTAAAATTGCGTTTCAGCTAAAAAGAATACAGATTGTATGACTTTTGTCTTAAATGAATCACTCCTACAAGATGCATGACACGAAAAGAATGCTAACAGTTGAAACTCATTTTTAAAGATTTTAAAATTTGTGAAAGTCCTATCAAAATACAGAAGCAATCCACCTAGACCAGAAGACGCCTCATGACAATTCATGAAACTATACAAAACGCTACCCCATGATTTTTTAGTGGTAATCAAACATGAATTGTGCAGTTGTCCTACCTGTATCCCCATGGACAGAACTCCTCTTGGACCCGGGCTTTGATGGGTACGAATCTGTCCCCTCCTCTCCCCACCAATCAGGTTGTCCGTACAGGGGCGTGCATTTCTTCACTGTTTCTAATTCTGGAACACAAAAAGTATGCATAATGAGTTACGAGCCTTAGTCGCAAGAGCCCATTACTTCATGTGCATACAAGTGAGGCACGATACAGTACTAGCACATGTGTGCGATGCCTCGTACAGACTCTCCCGTGGAGGAGGTAGCGACTCTACCTGTCATGGAGGTAGAAATTCTGGTAGCTGAGAAGAAAAATAAATAGTCCTCTCACCTATACCATGCCATTCCACATGCTTCATGCATGATTCTGAATAGAAATAATCCTGGATCTGAATAATCATCATACAACATCTCCAGGAATTTACATCCAAAATATGATTATTTATTCATACGTAATTATTAATTTTACATGTTACATCTGTTTAATGTGTTATTTTACATTAATAAGATATAATAAATCTAGATTACTAATATGTTGTTGTTTTTCTGTGATCAAATATCACATTCCAACTTAAGAAAATCTTATCTCCACAAATTGCATTTAATCAGAAAACAAAATCTTTCACTTTTCCCTGTGCATGTTGTCTAAAGAGCTACACCAGAACACACCAAAGATTTCCAAAAACTATTAGAGTCCTATAAGCAATGTTGGTACAGGACAAAAAATAAATTGCCATTCTGTTTGATAATTATCCAAGACTTCAAGTTGACTTTTCACTCATGAACTGACACCCCTGATGTTGTGCAGAAGTTGAAGGAAAGTAGTATTCTGGTGGTGTACCAGAGAGAAATTGAACAAACCAAGACTCTAAAGATTGTAGAGATTGCCCCTGCAACACAGTTCCCATTAAGTGACGGTCAGAGTGCTAATTACTCTTGTTCCTTGGATATTTCACCAAAAATTAGAACATGTTTTTTTGTGTCATAATGTTATAAACATTATTGCACAAAATGTATAAAGGATCCAAGTTTACATTTGGTGACAACCGCATGATGACATGGTCCTGGCCTGTGGTAAACATGTCATACATCATGGACCAGTAGGGGATACGGATACGTTCTACACTGCAGCCTACTCAACATACCGGGCTGCACCAGGTGGATGCTGAAATGTTATACAGCACCAGTTTTGAAGATGGTAATTTCTGAGTATACAACCTAACATTCCCCAGTGGAACTGGCTCCTGTGAGTGTTTCACATTTGCTGAACTCAACTCTTGTATTTCTAATTTAAACCAAAAAGACAATCTGACTTGATGCGAAATGTATGGCAAAACTTGACTTTCAAAACAAACTTTCCTCATAACCGAGAGAAATTAATGGCCATGGCGCTGTGCCAACATGTTTTCAAGAGCTTCAAGAAGATGCATTTTTACGATTAATCCAACTGCATTGCTGGGTTATAAACTTCATATATTACCACATAACAGTAAACTAAGAAAGAACTACAAAACTGAATCCAAAAATCCATTATAAGCAAGAATTTGGAGGATCACTCAATAGAAATATGAGCAGGAAGAAAAAAAGATCATGGTTACATGGCATAACTGCACTGAATTTAACAGGCTGCATTAACACAGGCAGTGGAAAGTGAAAACTAATTAACGTCATGCTGTTTTTTCTTTGAGAAATTAAAGGGACTCCTGTCTGTTGTATGTCACTGGGTTGCGTCTCCCCCATCGTACTCACTCACTCACTGCACCAACTTCCATGCTTCTGCTACTTCCACTTACACCACAGTCTCTACTCAGTTTCAAACTTCAATAGGAACACAACATTTCAGCAGGTGACATGATTCCTTTTTCATTCTAAATCCACAAAGTTTTTCTCTCAAAAACCCTGACACCTAATTTAGCAAATTATATTTCCACACCTGCCATGAAAATTAAGGCTAAGTTGTGAGACATTACTTAGTTTACAGACTTCAAGAAACAGTGGCCCTATTTGTACATTATAGGCAAACGGCAAGCATAAAACATAAAATGTCTCCTATTGAAAAAGACTACAGATACAAATTCTCAAACCATATAAGGCTATACAGTAATATGTATCTAGTATATTCAACTGTAGTCTTGCAGTTGTCCAAGAATGTTAACTACCAAGCATGCCATGATTTCCTACTGTATTCGGGATTCAGTCTGAAATATTAAACAACTTCTCACCATTTCTCCTGGACAACATCGATACATGTTATTCTCGAACAAAACTTGAGAGAAACTATTGATTTGTCCCCCAAAATAGCTATTGAGCTATTTCTTCCCTCAAAAAGCTATATGAACTATTTGTCCAAAGTGAGCCGTAGATTACATTTATTTGACTCATGTACGCATCCACCCAATGACTTGCAAGGAAAACATCTGACTTGGCAAATTCTGACAGAACAAGATAATCAAAACACATCATTAAAATAAATTAACCTCCTCAAATCTGCACCCCCCAAATACCTTCAATGGGTGATACATTGCCCATCCTGCAGCAAAACATTTCGAGCTGTCCGTCCTCCTTGTCCACAGACGTCTGCATGAAGATAGCAGACGGGCAATCTGACTTCCCAAGACAGTCCCACAGAGCACACCTAGCTCCTTCACTTCCACCAAACTATGTCTTACCTGCACATCTGTGCCCTATACACAACACATATCATCTTCCATCTGGCTGCAGGGAATAACTCAGCTTGAGGAAATACAAAAACAATTGCCTACACTTCCATGGTAGTCATCATGTGTTTTTCCACTTAAACATTGCAAGTTATCTGTTGCAGTTCTTGAGTACTCTCAGTTATTTGGGTGCTTGTTTTTCTTCTTCTGTAAATGGGCTCATCTGATGCTATTTGTGGGCAAGAGTTCAGTTAAAGCTGTCCTATACTCACCTTAATCCCCAATCAGATTTATGTGCTCCATGCGTAATGAGTGACCATTATAGCTCAAAGTAGAACTTTACTTTCAATAGCCAAATCTTCACTAGACGTTCAGATTGAATATGGGAACTAGTAATGTACTTTGCTTACAGACCAATATCAAGTCGGTTCCATAACGATGCACCCATTACAAGTCTGCGACATGGTTCAAACTCAACTTTGTCTACCAATCAACATTCATGATGAATTATACAGTTTACCTTCACCATAGGTCCACAAGTATAATGTCTCAACACATGGCTCTAATTACGTCTAGTTTCAGACTGAAAATGTGTATCAAAACTTGTGCCAGAGATCTTATCAAAATACAAAGGAATATAATCTTCTATAAAAACAAACTGTAAATTCCAAATCAGAAGTGCTACGAAAGACAAACCTGATCAGTCTTTTGCCATTTACTTACCAACTATAAATATACACGCTAATGTTTAATGGTGTTTGTGACTGTCACGATATGTTGTAGGTCCTCTAAACCTCGCCATACCACCACACATGACAAACAGTTTCCACCACTCAAACCTCAAATTACACATTCATGGAACTGGAGGCACCGACCAGTAATCTATATATACCCTTTGTCTGGGATTCCTAGTGCTGATGCAACATAACGCTGACAGTAACGCACTCCACTGCACCGACAGCAACACACTTGACTGCAGGATCCGGCCTGTGCCATGTGTCGTCTCACCCCAGTGCACACTGCTACACCAGCAACAAACACAATTGGCATTCATTCCATTTCTGCCCCATTTCAATACAATAAATACACATCAGTTTCCTGGACTTGTTACAAAACATGTTGAATGTAGTATTAGCATAAACCAATGGGCGGAGAGGTGTTCATGGCTTCAATGCAGCGGCCTCCAAAGCATGGGTCTGATTCAAATGAGAATTAAGTGAATGGCACTTGAGCTGTATTCAGCCTCTTCCCGAACATGCTGGGGCTGTTCCTCTCTGATGTGTCATCATCAACATCATTAAATAAGTCCTTAAACATGGGCATGGATGAACATGCAGACATAAGCTCTCTTGAGATTACTTGTTTGAGAAGCATTTAGAAGTTGGAGCACTAAGAATGGATGACAATATATGGATGAAGAAGGTGCTTGATATATGGATAAACACTTGCTTGATAACTGTGCTTGATAACCTGCACCGAAACAACGCTCTTGCTGTAATAAAGAAGCTGTTCATCCATATATTATTATCCATCCTCTTGAGAACGGTCTATTTGAGTTTATTAGAGCTCTGGCCTATGTAACAAAGTGAAATATGCAAAATACATCACATTTAGTGAATTGATTTTGAGTCACTTGGGTACAAATAATTGTGAAACAATTTAAAAAAACAAACAGTATAAACAACACTGGGTGTAATTACCCTACGTATCCCCCCTCAACTTGTGTTTCACTATTTTATCACAGATCTATATACCCGTGAAGGTCCAGGTTAGAATATCGATCTTCAGCAACCCATGCTTGTCGTAAGAGGTGACTGACGGGATCGGGTGGTCAGGCTTGCTGACTTGGTTGACACATGTCATCGGTTCCCAATTGCGCAGATCGATGCTCATGCTGTTGCTCACTGGGTTGTCTGGTCCAGACTCGATTATGTACAGACCACCGCCATACAGCTGGAATATTGCTGAGTGTGGTGTAAAACTAAACTCACTCACTCACAGATCTATAGTTCCTGAGAGCGAACAGGCATCACACTTACGTAAACTCTTACTGCAGTGAATAATGCAGAAAGATCTTAGCTGTGTCTTGCTAAGTTTCAGTTGACATGGACATTGATGTTGTGAGCTGTTACACACTTTGGGTAGCAAGATACAGATGAGAAGTCATACGAAACAGCATTTCAAGCTGTATTATTTTATAAACTGATCTTCATTGATCTGAAAATATCCAATAAGACTGAACCAAATTGTAGAAATACTGTGTATTGAACACCCAAAGAAAAACTATCAATACACAATGTGAATGGCAGTGCACCAATAAACCAGTTGTACTGAAAGGATATAAACATTATCTGGAGGCCTGAGCTATCTGTTTGTAGATCTGAGCTCATTCATTAACGGCCACACTGAACTTTGACTTTGTAAAGTTCCCAAATGACTAGATAAATAGTCCATTCTCCCAATAACCT